CAAGCTAGGTTTGGATCCTCCTGCCTCAGCCTTTCAGGGTGTTGGGATTACAGGTTTGCCTCACCATGCCCATCTTTGTAATCACAACCTTTATTTTTTTCAATTTGACCCACAAAGAGTTCAACGTTGGGTAATATTTACACATGGGAATGTGTCTCCATGTCTAATCTGTTGATATTTTTCCTGTTGGAACCATTCATAATTAATATTTAAATGATTTAGTTTAGAATTATTTTGGGTTAACTGAAAATTTGCAGGTAATGCAGAATGTTCCCATATGACACTGTGACAGGTTCAGTAATGACCCATAAAAGACTCATGTTCTGATTCTTACACTTTTCAGCCTTAGTTTTTAACATGACCCAAAAGGACTATGTCAATGTGAGGATATTAAAGTTTGAAGAGGCATGAAAAGTCACCAGGAGTAACTAAGTGTACCCCAAAGGCTATCTAATGTATCCCTATAAATGGACTTAGAAATATTTAAATGTAGGAAAGAGTGGGCACTGTAACTGCAGAAACAACACTAAAATGATGTGACCACCAGCCTGTGAGGCCGGACACACCAGAGGAAGGAAAGAGGGGAGAAGGGGAGGGTCTCCTAGAATCTGGGGAGGCCGAGCCTCTGACAACCTTCTGGTTTCAGCCCAGTGAAACAGATGTTGGGCTTCTGATTTCAAGAACTGTGAAAGAATCAATATATGTATTGTAAACTTCCAAGTTTGCGGTAGTGACAGTCGCCCTAGAGAACCAAGACAAACTCTCATCTGTTCCCTTCCCTGCCGTAATCAGATATCACTGCTCACATTTGGGAAGATTGGCCAGTGAAGCTACATGTTCCTGGACTTTTCTTCCCTGGAAATTTATTTATTTCTAATTCAATATCTGCACATGAATTAATAATCTGTTCACGCTTCTCTCCTTTTCTGGAGTTAGTTCTGGCAGTAAGTGCATTTCCAGGAATTTGAACCATGTCTCTGTCACCCAATATTTTGGTGAGCAGTCATTGATTGAATTCTGTTGTAGTCTTTATTACAGGAACATTCTAATGGCAGCAAAATTATTGGGATGAAAACTATGCCTATGTTGTTAGTGGCAGTAGTGTGGAGACATTATAAAAAAGAAACTCATGTCAGTTGTCTTAGGTGGTTATTGTAATATTCACATGACCACTTAGCTGACAAAATTCTGAAAATCATACATTTAAAAGAGTATTATCATTCATAAATTAAGTTAATGTGTGTCATTTACAGTGCATCTACCTACTACCAACAGTGAATGTAATTACTACGTGACACAAACATGAGCTAAACAAATAAAGAGAATGGGGAAAGGCTCTAGAGATGGAGTGAAGAGGGAGGGGAAGCAAAGGGGAATAAAAAGAAAAGAGAGATATCAATTATATGCACCCACTCCCTAAAGGGAAGACAAAGATTATGTGCTGCAAGCATGTATTAATAAAAATTTAAAAAGAAACACAGAACATTGTGCACATTAAAATAATCAGCTCAATACCCACAGACAGTTTAATTGCTTCTTCTGCAGGAAAGTAGGGTGAGGAGCACTACATAGTCCCACAGGTTAACTCTCCAGAGGTTGCAGAGTTTCCATAACCTCTTCAGAGATCCATGCGTTGGTCTCTGGAATCCCCGTGCCACGTCTATCATGTCGCTGGAGAAGGAGAGCTGCCCAGCGGGCTTCCTGGTCATTACTTATACATCTGAATGATAATCGTGTTGTGAGCCTTCAACCAGGGTCTGGAAAACACCCAAAGATAAAAACTACATCGGTAGACTTTTAAATGACAGCCTCTTCATGGGTTGTTTCGTAGACCTCCTTTATTCGTAATTGATAGACACAATTCTGTGAATTAGGTGAGAGATAGAATTTTGTGATGCTTATTATGCAAATAAGGAGGAAATAAGAAACTTGTCTAGGGAGGCAGAAACAGTTGAACTTTGTCCATGCTGATGTTCTTTCCTCTGTTTTTCCTTGTCTTTGAGAACTTGGATCCTTTTGAGCACTACCTGGGAAAGAACTCCTCTAATAAAATTTATGCAATATTTTATGGCTGATTGTCGAATTTTAGGTTCAACATTCTGCACTGACTGTTGTTTCTCTTCTAGAAAACTGGTAAGTTTCTGTATTTTGGTGAGAACTATAATTCATGTGAAGACAGTGGGTCAACTATTCTTACTATGAGTTATTTAAAAAGAGAAAGTATCAACATATTTCCAAAAATCTGGTGTCAGTCTGGAGCATAAATGATAAAACTTCCATTAGAGAGAATTTAGAGATTATAATGACACTGTTATGGTTTGTGCCTGGATGTCTGCCGAAAGCCTCATGCAGTCATGGGGAAGCCTTCTAGAGTTTATGATTGATCCATGGTCCAATGTTGGGATTATGGGTGTGAGAGCTACACCCGCCCTGGAGCAGGTAGTTTGCATACAGTGTAAGGGAGAGAAAGCGCTTGCTTGCCGCCGCTCCTCCCTTTTGCTGTCCTTGCTTTTCTGTCTTCTGTCACCACAAACAGTTGCCCGGTGCCATGTGCCACTCTACCTTGGAGCCAGCCAAGTATGGACTGAAACCTCCACAAACTGTGAGCCAAATAAAAGTTTCCTTCCTTAATTTTGGGCATTGGATATTTTGCCTCAGCAATGAGAGAAAAGTAAACAACACAATCACATTGAGCTTATTTCTTAAAAAACATAAACAAAAATAAGACGGTATTGTTCAGGGGATACATTTATCTTGTTCACTGTGTATGTGCTTCTCATTGGAGATAAGCAAATGAACTTTAGTATTTTCCCTGCAATCCCATGTGTGTTATTACTGATACACCCTCCTGGATTAGCAAGGAGGTGGACAAAAGCAGACTCTGATTAGTGTGCACATGGCTTTAACTTTTGAATCTTGCATCTTCTTCTACTAGCTGGACAGTTTTAGAGTGGTATGTAACTTCTCAGACTTTCAGTTGCCTAATGATAAAGCAAGAATAATAATGCTATTTGAAATACACACAGACATACACATTTATATATGAAGTCTTTATTTTAGGTTTTAGAACAGAGTACATGCTAAAACTGGTCATGTGTGTTAATGGTGTTAAACAATGTGTTCAGGGACACATTGCCAAAGGCTTAGGAGAAAGATGGTAGGGAATTAAAGTATTAGACGGATATCCTTGAAAAACCAATTCTAAAAAAAATTAAAATACTCTTCATACACAAGAATACACTCAAATAATGTATCCTCCAAAGTGGGACTTGCCAACAAAACAGTTCTGTAAGGTAGAGATGGTGGTTAACTGGGAATTTTCCACCATTGGTCTTGGAGATTTGGCTATGGAGTGAAAGTAATGAAAAAAAAGGACACATTTAAGAAAAATGCATTCATTTACTCAGACTAAAACATACATTTAAAAGAGGAAATTTTAAAAAGAAATGGCTCACGCGGAATTGCAGAAGCAATTATCACGTGTTTGAAGCAAGGACAGAAATACTGGAAAACACAGAAACTTCAGGGACTCTGGTGGGGGATAACAAGCAACTTGGGGAGTGAAGCTTCCAGACCACAATACTCACCCACCACAAAAGCCCTCTTTAGCATCCACCTCAGTCAACCAAGATGAAGACAGTTCTTCTATTCCCATAATAATGTCAAACTTAGCACTTGACAGGCTGAGTTTAACTCCCAGGATTTTACTGGTATTTTTATTAATTATCTTCTTTCATTGATTAATTATCTTATTACTTTTTTGGCAGATGGAAATAAGATGGTCAAGGGAGTTGGTTCAGACCAGTCAGTAACTCATAAGTGGCAGGGATCCCGTCTCTCACACATCTCTGCTAGGAATTGAAGCTCTCTGTGTTCTCTGTCTGATGTGCTGTCTTCCCTCCCAGTCACCTCTGCCAGTGAAGTGCTGCGTTCCAGTTGGACCGCCACTTCTCCAGGATGCAGTGACTCAGGAGCTAAGCTTGTCTTCATCTTAGTCAAAAGTTTATGCTTTTACTCAGAGCCGGTCAACAGGTGTGGCAGTGCTGGTGGATTAGCTCCAGGTTGTGTGGGCTGGGGGAGATTAAAATGCAGTTCTGAGTTTGTTAATTCATCCAGGACACTTCTGTAGTTGAAAAAAGATCACTTAGGACCATTGATATAACTCAGTGGCACAGTGCCTGCCTGGCAAGCTCAAGGTCCTGAGTCCGATTCCTGAAATCAAAAACAAAAACAAAAAAAAAAAAGAAAAGAAAAAGGCTCATTGCACTTGGCTCATTTGTCTGTTTTCGGGTTTACCTCTCATGGGAAGTAAACATCCAGTCAACAAGATAAAATTACTATATCATCAACAGCACAGTTCATTATGGAAACACAAACCCTGAGGTTGCACCAAAGCAGACAGGGAGTAATTGTAAACTGAGTTAAATTCAATTTCATGTACATTTGTTTTAAACCATTAGACTTGGGAATGGTTCAGCATGGGTTGAAGGTTAGCACGAGTCTACAGCAGAGGCTGACAAATAGCATTTGTGTGAATATGAATGTATTCCTCAGTCCCTAGTGCCTTGTAATTTACATGGGTGTAATGATGAATGGAGCTCACTGCATTTCTGAGTGGAGCAAGGAGCACACATTCGAGGTGTCTGCAGCAGTTCCTGCAGTGAGCAAAATGGAAGTGACAGCTACTACTGAGCTCCCGGGCAGTGAGATGCAGATGGATTCATCCATACAGTTGGTTTCATCAACATTATCCACACCTCAGTAACAAATGTATAAATTTTAAAATTGGGTACCTAGTCCATTAAGATTCCTGCACACAATTAATGGGTCAGGTTTGATTTTCAATTCCACATTTTCTGGGGACTGTCAAAATACAACTCGTTGGTACAGAGATAAAAATGCATGTGGTACACGTGCTTTCCAATTTTAATTCATTTATTTCATTATTGTGTTTCTTTTTTTCACATTGCTGCAAAGCATCTAGTGATTCCCAGATAACAGTGATGGAGAACAGGACAGAGGTGACAGAGTTCCTCCTGCTGGGGCTGACCCATGACCCACGCCTGCAGCTTCCCCTCCTCATTACCTTCCTCCTTGTCTACACCATCACTGTGCTTGGGAACCTGGGGATGATCCTGCTGATCCTCCTGGACTCTCATCTGCACACCCCCATGTACTTCTTCCTGGGGAACCTGTCTCTGGTGGATTTCTGTTACTCTTCAGCTGTCACTCCCACGGCTGTGGCTGGCCTCCTTATTGGAAACCAGGTCATTTCCTACAATGCTTGTGCTGCTCAGATGTTCTTTTTTACAGCATTTGCTACTGTGGAAAATTACCTCCTGGCCTCCATGGCCTATGACCGCTATGCTGCAGTGTGCAAACCCCTGCATTACACCACCACCATGACCACAAGGGTGTGTGCAGGTCTCATCATTAGTTGCTATGTCTGTGCTTTTCTGAGTGCCTCTTTCTACACTGGGGACACATTTAGTCTCTCTTTCTGCAAATTCAATGCAATCCACCATTTTTTCTGTGATATTCCAGTGGTCATGGCTCTTTCTTGTTCTGACAGATATGTTAATGAGCTGGCCCTTATTGATGTAGCCAGCTTTGTTATCTTGTTAGCCCTCCTAATTATCTTAATATCCTACATATTCATTGTTATCTCTATCCTAAAGATGCGCTCAGGGGCAGGACATCGCAAGGCTTTGTCCACCTGTGCCTCCCACTTTATTGCAGTGTCCATCTTCTATGGGACTACGATCTTCATGTACCTACAGCCCAGCTCCAGTCACTCCATGGACACTGACAAAATCGCCTCTGTGTTCTACACTATGGTCGTTCCCATGCTGAACCCCATGGTCTACAGCCTGAGGAACAAGGAGGTGAAGAATGCATTCACAAAGGTTGTTCTGAAGGCAAAATAATCAAGAATTTTGACCTTACCATTTGGGAGCCCAGGACACCTGTTTTCATTCCTCACAGATATACTTCATGCACTCCCTCCAAATTTAATGTCCACATTGGTAGTAAGTGTTTGAAATGATAAGTTTGCCTTTTCATATACCTATTGTCTGGAAAGAAGGAAGAATTATGTACAGAAAAATAATGCAGGAGAAAGGTGTCTGTGGTTTCTTTGGGTCTGTGTTCAGAACCCTTACTCAGGGTCCTAGTGCTCATTCTCCATGTCAGTGCAAGTGTGTGCAAAAGCAGGGCACAAAGAAGCCCACGAACAGAAGTGCACGCAGATGTCACTGCAGGACAGGCGCATAGGCTTGCAGCAGGCTTGTGAGAATTAAATGCAATATAGCTATTTGTGTTGGTTAATTGCATGTGTTAATTTGACTGAATTAAGGGATGCCCAGATAACTAGTAAAATATTCTTTCTGTGTGTATTTGAAAGGAAGTTTCCAAAAGAGACTACTGTTTGAATCAGTAGACTAGCAGAGATCTTTCCTCATCAATGTAAGTGGCCATTGTCCAAACTATTAGGGCTTTTGTGAAAAGAACAAAAAAGTGGAAGAAAGGCAATTTCTCTCTCTCTCTCTTTCTTCCTCTCTCCTGATGAAGCATCTGTAGTAGTCACCTATGCATGACCCATAAAGGAGGAAAGGTTTGATTTTGGCATGTGGGTCCAGAGAGCTTAGTTCATGGTTGATTGGCTCCTCAGCAGAAACACCAAGTACTCACCTCATGGCTTCCTAAACAAATGGAGACAAGAAAGAGCCGGAGAAGAAGGGGCCAAATATAGTTCCCAAGGTCACACCCCTGTAACCCATACAGGAGCGTGCTCTGCTAATCTCCCAGGCATCCCTCAAGCCGATCAAGTTGACAGTGATGATTGCCCATCCCAGCATCCACTTCCTTTCACTCTTGAACATCAGGGTTTCTGGCCCTGGAACTCTGGGTCTCCAGACTTGCACTGTGAACACTCCCCTGCATTTCTTAGTCCTGTGAGCTCAGACATAGCTGTGCCACAGTCCCGCTGGTTCCTCAGCTTGCAGAGCACATTGCTCACCCCCACAATCACACAAGCCTCAGAGCCTGGCATTGCTCACCCCCACAATCACACAAGCCTGTGCCTAGAGTGAATCTCATGCTCCTGGTTGGTATCAAGCCCGTTGATTGCTAAGTGAGATGATATGGACTAATAGAACAGGTTGAAGTATTGTAATTTATTGTTTTTTTTTCCCCCCCTCCGATACTAGGAACCGAACTCACGACCTTGCGCTTGCTGGGCAGGCACTTTGCCACTGAGCTAAATCCCCGGCCCCCTGTAATTTAATGTTTAATTGGTATATTACAACCTAAAAATATATCTAATGTGTTTCTGTCTTTCACTACTGTTCTGAGTCAGTCTGAGAAACAATATAACATTGAATAAATTATGTGCTTTTCCTTTACACATTTTAATGACAGATGTTGAAACCTGGCATCTCCTATGAATTAATATTTCTATTTAACTGTTCTTTTATGCCACCAATATTTGTTCAAGTTTTAATTTCCAAAGGCATAAAATAGCCTGAGTAAATGCAGGAAAAGTGAAAGAATTTTTAATGGGCTCATATATTACTACCATCATTCAGGTTGTATAAACATTACACAAAGTTGACCACACCCCACTCCCTTCCCGCACTGGCATGGGAGCCACACTGAGCCCTGGAGAGCTTCATGAGCTTCAGTGAGCCATCACTCAAACACCCCGCCCACTGCTGTGGGAGCCACTCTGAGCCCAGGACAGCACTGGGAGACTTGGTGACCATGGCCCACCCACCCCACCTCATCAAAGGAGCCAAGCTGAGCCCAGGGTAGCTTCAGGACCATGCCCTGCACCCTCACCATCTACTAGCCCATAGAACATGCTTAAGTAAATGCAAAGCAATTGAAGTTGTCTCAAGCGTACTATCAGATCATACTGCAATGAATTTGGAAATTATTGACAAAAGTTCCAAAAACTGCATAAACACATGAACATCAAATAGCACTCTCCTGAACAACCAATGGGTAGCAGGTGAAATTAAAGAAGACATTAAACAATCTTTACAGTCAAATGAAAATGCAGATATAATTTACCAGAACCTGTGGGACATAATGAGAGCAGCTGGCAGAGAGAAATTTATAGTGGTGAATTTGCACATCAGGAAAACAGCATGAGCACAAATAAACACCTTATGCTGCACCTCAAGGTTCTAGAAAAAGAAGAACAAGTCAAACCCAGAGCCCAGAGAAGGCAGGAAATTATAAAGCTCAGAGCAGAAATTAATGCAATTGAAAGTAAGAAAACAATACAAAGTATTAATGAATCAGAGTTCATTCTTTGAAAGAATAAATAAAATTGATAAACTCTTAGTCAACTTTATAAAAAAAGGAAAGAAAAAAACTCAAATTCATGCTATAAGGAATGGAAAGAATGAAATCATTACAGATCCTGCAGAAATTTGGAAGATCATCAATACCTACTTTGAAAATCCTTGTTCTCATAGGATGGAAAACATGGAGGAAATGGATAGATTCCTAGATACATATGAATTACCAAAGCTGAGTGAAGAAGGCATAGAAATTCTGAATAGCTCAATATCAGCCAATGAAATTGAAAATGTAATAAAAAACTTGCCAACAAAGAAAAACCCAGTTCTTGATGGAGTCAAAGCTGAATTTTCCAAGAATTTTAGAGAAGATTTAACACCAATTTTCCTCAGACTCTTTAATAAAAATGAAAGGGAAGGAATTCTCCCTAAAGCCAGAGAAAGACCCAACCAAAAAAGAGAACTACAGGCCAATCTCTCTAATGAACATAGATACAAAAATTCTCAATAATAATTAGCAAACAGAATGCAGCAAATCATCAAGAAGCTTATACATTATGACCAAGTGAGATTCATCCCAGGAATGCAGGGATGTTTCACTGTATGCAAATTAAGTAATGCAATACGCCATATCAATAGAACCAAAGACTAAAATCACATGATCATCTTAATAGATACAGGAAAAGCTTTTCATAAAGTCCAACACTCATTCATGATAAAAACCATACAGAAAATAGGAGTAGATGGTCTTTACCTCACTCTGATAAAAGCAATCTATGACAAATCAATGGCCAATGTCATACTAAATGAATAAAAACTGACAGCTTTCACTTTAAAATCAGGAACAAGATGAGGATGTCTACTGTCACCACTCCTATTTAGTATGGTTCTGGAAATATTAGCCAGAGCAATTAAACAAAAGAGAGAAAAAAAATAAGGATAGGAAAGGAGGAAGTGAAATCATCATTATTTGAAGATGACATGAAACGCTACATAGAAGACCCCCAAAAAGCCACCAAAAAGCTTATAGATTTAATGAACAAATTCACTAGCACAGTTGGATACAAAGTCAGCCCTCAAAATTTAATAGCATTCCTGTGTACAAACAACAAACATGCTGAGAGAGAAATCAGGGAAACTACACCTTTCACAACAGCATATAAAAAATGAAATACTTAAGAATCATTCTAACATTGTGAAAATGGACACACTCCCAAAATTATTATACAGATAAAGTGCAATCCAAAATAAAATACCATTGATAAATCTCACAGATCTAGAGAAAATATCCCTAAAATTCATCTGTAATCAGAAAATTCATTCCTATAATTCATCCGTAATCAGAAGATTACTAGAATAGCAAAAGCAATCCTGGGCAACAAAGGAAAGGCAGGAGGCATCACAATGCCTAACTTACAATTATATTACAAAGATATTGTGATAAAATCAGCATGGTATTGCCAAAAAACAGGCCTGAAGATCATTGAAACAGACTAGAAGATGAAGATACAACTGCAAACACACTCAGCCACCTTATCTTTGACAAAGGGGCCAAACATGTTCACTGGATTACAGCTAGCGTCTTTCATAAATGGTGCTGGAAAAACCGGCTTTCCACAGGCCAAAGACTAAAACTAGACCCATGTCTATCACATGCACTAACTAAAGTCAAAACGGATCAAAGATCTGAATATTAAAATGGAAACACTTAATCTATTGGAAGAGAAAGTAGATAAATATCTTGAAGACATAGGGGTAGGCAGAGAGTTCATGAACAAAAACAAAACTGCATAGGAAATATTTCAAAGAATCAACTGGGATCTCGTCTTATTGAAAAGTTTTTGCACATCAAAAGAAATCAGCAACAGGGTAAAAAGAAAACCCACAAATTGGGCAAAAATTGTAGCCATATGCCCTTCAGACAAAGGACTTCTATCTAGAATGTCTAAAGAATTTGAAAAGTTTGGGCCCCCAAAATTCAAACACCCAACCCAAAAATGGGCGTCTGAGATGAACACACACTTCTCAGAATAAGAAACACAAATGGCAAACAAATATCTTTAAAAATGCTCAACATCATTGGACATTTGAGAAATGGAAATTAAAACAACACTGAGATTCCATCTCACCCCAGAAAGAATGGCTACCATCAAGAAATCAACCAATAACAAATGCTTGAGGGGCTGTTGGGAAAAAGGAACTTTTCTGCACTGCTGATGGGAGTGCAGACTGATGAAACCACTGTGAAAATCAGTATGGAGATTTCTCAGTAAACTAAGATTAGAGGTCCCATTTAACCCAGCTATTCCCCTCCTCGGTATTTTTCTAGAAGAACTGAAAGCATCATAGCACAGTGATATATGTGCACCCATGTTTCTAGCAGCACAATTTGTAATAGCTAAATCATGAAAGCAACCCAAATGTCCATCAATTGAGGAATGAATAAAAAAGTTGTGGTATTTTTATACAATGGAGTATTACTCAGCTATAAAGAAAGATAACCAGAGGCTTTTATAGGTAAATGGGTGCAACTAGAGACCATATTCATAAGTGAAATAAATCAGCCTGCATGTGTAAACATCTCATTGTCTCCCTAGTGTAAGAACTTGAAAGAGTAAATA